CGAGATACTATATCATTATCATCACACCAGATACTATATCAAATACATCACACCAGATGCTTTATCATTAACATCACACCAGATACTATATCATTTATGTCACATCAGATACTATATCATTTACATCACACCAGATACTATATCAATTACATCACAACAGATACTATATAATTTACATCACATAAGAAACTATATCAATTACATCCCACCAGATACTGTATCATTTACATCCCACCAGATACTATATCATTTAGATACTATATCATTTACATCACACCAGATACTATATCATTTACCTCTCACCAGATACTATATCATTTACATCACACCAGATACTATATCATTTACATCACACCAGATACTATATAATTTACATTACACCAGATACTACAACATTTACATCACACCAGATACTATATCATTTACATCACACCAGATACTATATCATTTACATCACACCAGACACTTTATCATTTACATAACACCTGATACTACAACATTTACATCACACCAGATACTATATCACTTACATCGATCACGCTAGATACTATATCATTTACATCAAACCGGATATATATCATTTACATCACACCGGATATATATCATTTACACCTTACGAGTTACTATATCATCACAACACACATAATTCTATATATGCAATCTACATTACTCAACGACATTGATAACATTCAATTGTCACAATTTTCTTTGATATATTTTAGAACTGAGTGCAAGCAGCGAAAAAACGAAGCCGAACACCAGTTTCAGGAAAGAGTGCGACTCAGTATCAGCAATAGACAGGCAGACGCTGAACGAATTAGGAGCCGCATGTCATCTCAAAGAGCCAGTATTAGCCGGATGTCAACCAGAGCAAGAAGTTCACTGGCTGTTTCCTCCTCTTCAGAGTCTGTCGACGAGGGCAATAAGAAAGCCCTCAAGGTCGGCAGTTCTCACTAAATTTTAGGCCGGCCGACACTCCCTATAAATAGTAGGCCACATACATTTTGCTATTGTCACGTGATAGGACATTTTCTTGACATAAACTACAAAAAGCAACTTAATCCCTTTTCCCTTACTCATTTTTAATTTTATAATGTAAAAATTCTTTCCTTTTTTTTCATTTTATTATCAGATGATCATCTTTTCTCGCCGTTTTCAGCCTTTACTTTTGTGATCCTTCTATACGAATTTCAAATCATACTGTGTGTAACATATGTCCATGACAATTTATTCATCAGACAAGCATTTATTTTCAGTTTGTCTTTACTCTCTTCATTTTTAAACTCCTGCTTTTGGAAAACAACCTAATATCATTTCGCTCTTAGTCATGCTAAATTTTCAATTGACCAAATTCTGTGAAATTTCAACACACTAGTTATATTTTTGCACTATTTTCAGAAGCAATACTATGTCGATATATTATTTTATCTAAATGATTAACTTTACGAAGTTTACATTCATCTTCCTTAATTAAAAATAGCATCTTTGTTTTTAAAATCTTTATAACAACCTGACCGTGATGAATATCATCTGCCTTGAACAAAAAAACAACAACATAAAACCACGAAAAACAAGTATCAAATCTACATTTTGACCTTGATTTATCAGGGTCAAGTATGATGATACTTACCAAAAATATCTCATCTCATTTTATCATCCAATCATCCATGTATTCATCTAAAAACTCCAAGAAACAAGGCATTGGTCTTTTACTTACAGTTTAAGAAAACTCTAAATCTTTAAGAATGCATTTCTTATCATACCGTACGTGTAAATTTGTTATATTTTCTAAGTTTCTTTATTTTCATATTTAGAATCTGGTTAGTAAGAAAGCACACCTAGATCATAAAGTATTTGGACATTCTCATCTTAACAACAACAAAAAATATTTCCGGCTTACACTTTACATACTATCTAAACTTTCTTTTTAACAATAAAGTTTAAAATTACACTTTTTTGATAATTCATTATAATTATGTTAACAACCTGACCGTGATGACTTTCATCTACCTTGAACAAAAAATACATAAAACCACGAAAAACAAGTATTAAATCTACATTTTGACCTTGATTTATCAGGGTCAAGTATGATGATACTTACCAAAAATATCTCATCTCATTTTATCATCCAATCATCCATGTATTCATCTAAAAACTCCAAGAAACAAGGCATTGGTCTTTTACTTACAGTTTAAGAAAACTCTAAATCTTTAAAGATACATTTCTTATCATACCCTACGTCAGGCTACGCGTTCATTACAATCACTGGTTTGTTATATTTTTAATTTTCATTCATTTTTTTTTTTCAAAATCTGGTTAGTCTGAAAGCGCACACATCATTGCGTATATTTTTGGACATTCTCATCTTAGCAACACGGAAATATTTCTTGATTTACACTATACATACTATCTTTATTTTTTTTATACTAGTATATGGCTATAAATATCATTGATATCCAAGTTTAATTTTTAAAATTATTTAATGACTATTCACGTGACATGGCTCCGATATTTTAAGGCATAAAGACACTTTGGCCTGCTGTTATAGGGATGTTGTCGGCTTTGGTGTTTTTAGGCATTTCGGCATTTTGTTTTCAAAACTTGCACAATCTATTTTCCTGTTAACATTGCACCATTAATAATAAGACTTAAAATAGGTATATCAAGAAATTAAATACATCTACAGTTTTTTACATGTTTTCCTGATACATACATTATATAAATAAAAACAATTTTGGATCACAAAGCAGACTGAACTTGTTGTTGTTGTTGTTTTTACTACCATCTTTACTTCTCAGGAGTACAATGGCGTTAAACCTGTGTAACAGTTCAGTACCATATATGAAAAAATCACATTTTCTGGCGTTACCGCGAAGCACTATTCGAATACATCGGCGTTACCTCATAAAACGACTTGCATCCCATTTTATCAGCTTATTTCAAATTTTTATATCACCAGAAGTTTAGTAAATGTCACTTGCCTACCTAAAATCGAAATTATCCGGCATTGTTGTACTTATAAGAGTCGACAAAAAGCCAAAATCTCGCACAAAACGGTAATCAAGTCATCATTTTCACGAATGATCTTAAAAAGTAAACAATTTCGTGGAAATAATCATTTGAGGGATAAAGAGTAATGTCTTTGCAGCCGTTTGCAGCTATTGATTTTTTTCAGTTCGGTTACATAAAAATTATATTGGCCAGTTGGAAATCCTGCCAGGTAGCCGCCATTTATTTCACAATTCTGCGTTACTTATTGCACGAATCGTGCGTTATTTTCACGATATACGCGGTGATCGTACAGCGTACATCTCACGGATCTGAAAATCTACCGAAGATTAATATATCGATGGCATAGTGCTATAAGGGGATAAGTGAAAAATGACAGTTTTGAGATAATCAAGAAAAACTGTCTGCTGCTTTTATTTGTTATAATTTTTAAAAATGACTTTGCATGCTTGTAAACGAGTAATATTAGAAGCATTATAATCATTTTTACCTATTGTGTGGTCGTTGGTTAGTTCAAAAATCATTTAATAATTACTTAACACCTTATAACATTTGCTGAAATGACAAGTTGCATTTCGGTAAAAGGCGTTATCTGCCACTTCACTCCTTTTAGAATAAACAATGTAACCATATCATAAGTCAACATACAGTGACAACTGCCACTTACCACCTGACTTTCTATTACTTTTGAAATCAAATGATCAAAGAATTTTTATAAGTCTCAGTGTTTAACAATATTTCGGTTGTTTTCTAACATACATGTATATGCCGACATGCAACTTTCAACTTCTCCACTTAAAATTATTGAAAAAGTGATTGAGTCCAAAATGATAACAAACTAGTTCAAAGGTATTTTTTAAATCCTATTTTAGCATAGCTGAAGGAAAAATAATGCACAATGACGCCAAGTTTTAAAATAAAATTTATTTCATTTCAAAACCTTTAACATAAATTTGTGACATGTGCTTATATTAGCATCATGTATTAACATTAAAACAAGTAATTCATTACCTTCGTGAACAAGAACAATTAAAAAGAAACAGGATAACAAATTGTAATCAATTAATTGTCCACAATCTCAAGTTTGAAACACAATTCATGTTATAGTTCATATTCATAATAATGTTATTCATGATGTATTAAAAACAACTTAGAAGTGTATTTATAAAAGTGTTTATGCTGATAAATGAAAGTATTTCATTATGTTTGCATGATTTCGTAGTTCATGCTGTGTTCATTATTACAATTGCCAATGGACCGTTTCCTTACAATTAAATCATTTTGAAAAAAAAATCAAAATTTTATACTCAGTTATAGTTCAACATTCATCTGATTCATGGTCTTCTCTGTGGGGTAGACTACCATAAAATGAATGGTATCTTGGCGGTATTATTTGCCTTTGGCACAAACTCAACAAGTCGTCATATTTTTTTTTCGATATACATATCTGACTATCATATGCATTCTTTAATGCATAGCCCTCAATTGTTCTCATTTTTCTTCTCAAATTAGGCCGTGCAATTTCAATGAATTTGAATTCAGTATTAACTTCATACTTGTAGTAAATTCTGTTTGGCTCAGATTTACGGTATTCAAATACGTGTACCTTTGTCCACTGAAGTGTTGAACCATCTGCTGCCTTGCTTCTATTAGCCACAGTATGATCTGCCAAATCCTTAAAATCTTTTATATCAGATGTAGCCACTTCAATTACTTTATATCTTGGCTCACTGGCTTTGCTATTCGACACAGCTGACATCCAATCCGTAGGACCAAACATATCATGCTTTTTCGTAGCTTTTTCGATAGTGGCATGTACAGAGTCTCCCTCCATTTGCGAATGTCCACGTTCAAAAAAATTGTGAGTGATTGTGTTAATAGGCATATTCTGTACACAATATAAACACATACTGGAGAAAGGAAGATTTCTGTTCTCTCTAGAACAGTTGTCGGAGTAGTATATCAAATGGTCAACAACTCAAAGACTTTCATTAAATTTGTAAAGACATATCATTCCTTCCTCGCTTAGCAACTGATTCATACCACATGTAACATGATGCATGCTTTGAGACTATGTCAAATACAGTAAAATTATATGTAGCTAACTTCCGGCTGTAGTAAACTTCACCTATTTCTGTTTTGGGTGAAAACAAAACTTTTTGAAGATCAAAATTTATTACACGTGTATTTGTATCTTCCAAGGCCTTTTCTTTGTCATTCTGTTTCTGTTGTCGAATTTGCTCTTTTCTTTGTTGATGTTCAAGGTATTCACTCTCTCTTTCTTTCTTTTTGGCATCATCAAGACTTTTATACACTTCACAAAAGGTGCATAAGTCTTTTTTGGGGTGATGAAAACCAAGATTGAATTCCTTATTGAATATAGAGTTATACAGCCAGAGCTTCTCAGGAATTGTGTTGCTTTTCTCACACTCTTCCACATACATTCTATACATTTTATTTACTGACAAGCCCTTTTCAAGATATTGCCTCTCGGTATCCCTTCGGCAGTAATGTGAATCTACTCTCTGAAATTTGTCTATGTGTTTCCGTATTCCATCTCTGGCTGCTTTGGAAACTTCAATCTTTTTATGCCGACCCCTTCTATCTGTAGTGTCATATATCTTGTCTCTATTCATCGTGTACTCGATTACCTTTGGTCCAACATCTAAAATATTCATGAAGCTACTTTTACAAATTTGAATCAAATCATCACTATCATCATTGAGCGGAAGAAAATATTCATAAGTTAATTTCCTTCTAGATTCATCATTAGTTGTTGTTCGCCGTTTTTTACTTATAACTTTTATATGATGTGATATAAAGTTTCGTTGAGTCTCATATGACAAGTTCCAGTAATGGTTGAATATTTCCTCTCTTCTTTCTTTTTTAATTTTACTTGTGCATCTGTATTTGCATTTACAACTGATTGCCTTTGATGCCTTCATCGGAACTGTAACCCCTTTCTCATTTTGATAACATTGTCCATGCTGCCGCCTTCTTTTTGTAATTTCACGTTGCCATTTATCAGGTTCTCTGGTGCGTTTCCTAGAGTTGCTCTTTTCATATTCAGGAGTTTTGGCATATGAATGTACACATGGTTCCTCAAGGTTTGTATGTGCATAATTTTTAATTTGATTATTATTTTCTTTGGGTGAATTTTCATATTCAGAATCATCAGTACTTGTACTTGGCACATATTCAGATCCAGAATCATTATTTTCGGAACCTTGACTTTCTGTTTCTGGTAATTCAATACTAGATAAAATATTATTATCCAGACTTATTTCAACTTCACTTCCTATTGAATCATTTAAACTTATATCAATAGGATCGAATGGTAGCCCATCAACTGGTGCATACAAATCATTGTCTAGTTCATCTTTAAGAGAGGAATTGTTGCATAAAATATTACCATTTTCATCGGTAATGAAAAAATCTGAAACACTATCTTCTTCATTATCATTTGTAACATAAACTTGTATAAGGCATTCATCTAAGTTAATATCTTCAAGTGGTAAAGTCGGTTCGATTGTTTTATCGGAAAAATTGCTTTCATTTTTTGCATTACTCGCTTCTCTTCTAATAAGTTCATTGATAGGAACATCATCGTCTGAATCTGAATTTTCAAAATGTATCTCCATTTTCTGTTTAACATGAACAACTGGTATATCTTTTTAAAATCAGCTTTTGTTCATACTTTGTTCACAAACAACTGCGAGTATACTCTCAAGATGAAAAATATGGTTTGCGATCAGTTTAAGTAAAGATTCTCTGACATTGTTTTGATGACATTGAATAAAGCGGTCGAGGGACTTCTCATACATTTCATTCACCTGCAACTTCTTTTGCTCTAGTTGTAAAAGACGTGACCTTGCATATCTTGCTTCTGGTAGGTCCATTTCTAAAAAAGAGAAATAAGTTAGATATCAATTTGAACAACTTTGAAAGAATGTTATCATTTTCTTTTATATCAAATAAAACTGGAATTAGATTGAAAGTTTTAATCTTTTAAAGTGACAGAATATTCTCAATACAAATGATACAAATGTCACGGCTTTAGGAAACCCAATATGTTACTTTACCTCTAATGTGTTATCCAATATAACTTATCCGAGTACTATAACACTTTCAATGAAATCAATTTTAAACAAATATATACATCAAAATCTTCACTTTAATACGAATATAATGTGACAAAATACCTGCTATATAAATTGTTTATCTGCAAAAGTAGATGCTGCACCAAAAGTCATCCATGTAAAGTGTTTCTTCTTTTCAAAAATAATGCGCCTTGAAATTAACATTTAATAATCTAGAATCCAAATAATTTTATCTTAGCTACGTTATTTTCTAGAGTTTACCAAACATAAACATTAAAATTATTGCTTTCCATGTTATTCTGGAACAAGAAATGAAAATGGTAAATACTTTAAATGATTTAGAAATGCGTGTTATGATATTTTAAACGGTTAGCTTTGTAGAGATTTAACAAAAGTTTCAATTATACAAAGACGTATCTACCACTTATCCCCTTTTAGCATAGAACACAATGCTGAATACCCTAATTGATTAAAAGGTGATATGTGGTAGATATCACCATTTTGCCTTTTAATATTTTTCTATTTTTACTTATCACCTTTTTTTCAAAGCCTCATTGTGGTTTATGTGACGTATGTACAATGACGGGAACTAGATAGGAACATGCGCCCAAGTCTGTAGTATTCAAATATGTTATCATGCAAGAAGGCGTTAAATAACACTTATCCCCTTATAGCACTATGCCATCGATATTGTGTGCATCGACCGCGTAATCAGTATGTAATTGACAGATTAATAAAACCAAACAATATCTAACAATATCTACATGTAAAAATTGCTAATTGTGTTAACATGTTTAAACAGACAATCATCGGAGAGCTTTCACAATTTTGATAAAACTTTTCAAGGCGAGAAGATATGAAGACAGTTTCTGACACTGCAGATGAAGGAGATGAATCACGTGATCGAGCGTTTATCATGAGTAGCAGGAGATAGGGACAGCCTTCAGTAGGTATATTGGAAGTGTCTCACGAATCGCCCACGCTGGAACATCTACAACAAAGGAAATCAGCAAATTTATTTGTGTGTGTTTGCGTTTGTTTACCCTCGCCACCGAAAAGAGACCATACGGGCGAGCATTCAGCAAATTTACTTTTTTGGCCGCACCTTTAAATGGATGGAAAAGTGTGCGCTGCGCATGCGCTCGCTCACGCGCGTACGCAAACGTTTCTCATGCGCTTCCTGCATGCCCGTTATACATGTTATAAACACGCTGTTCATACGCAATTTAAACGTTATTTGTAAGGACTGTCATCAATTCCTCCTACTACCCTTCGCGGCGTGAACGTCGCTCGGAGGGCATATGTCTCACCAGATGGGCGACCTAGTTAGGTCACTTAGCTGGTGTGATCTAACCAGGCCCTACAAAGAGCTGATGCTCCAAGAAGAGGTGCCTTTCCTCTATATTGTCTTCTGCGTTCAAGATCGAAGAACTGGGTTCTAGAGAAGATCTACGACGAAAGACGGCATGAGAAAACCTCCGTTGCGGATCTACGATCAGCGACGTTGCAGGCAAACTAAGTCCTCCGTTGTAGGCTCTACGACCAGCGTAACAGAGGCTGAGAGTCTGGCAAATATGGCAAAGCCGGGGCCCAGTATAAATAAAACTTAAAACACACACACACACACTGTCATCGATAGCTCGGGTTAAACGTACGCTCGAAAGCTATGCGTTTAATTAATTTTTCTACAGTTTTCAAACGCAATATATACGTTTCTATCAAACCCTAGAATATGCAATTATATAGGGGCATTCATGTGATAATGTGTGTGTGTATTTGCGTTTATTTATACTCGCCACCGGTTTCCATATGGGCGAGTCCTCCAGAAGAGTATTAGTTATGATAGTGCAATTACAGATACAGAAAGATGCCCCAATTCCAGAAGCTTCTCCTGGTTCTTTAACGTGCCAAGTGTTTAAAGCACCCATACACGGGACCTCGATTTAAAGTCTCATCCGAAAGACTGATTAGTAATTTTAGTTGGCCAGCCCGGGAATCGAACCCACAATGAACCCAGTAGCTCTCCGTATCGTAACCGTAATCAATCGTAGTAGTCCTTGTATATCCGTAGCGATCCTTGACAATTTTTGAACATGCACAAAAATTTGCTACGGAAAAATCAACCGTAGCGTATCCCTGTTAGTCCGTATTAAACCGTACTGATACCAGTACGGTCCGTACGAAAACCGTACTAGTCCGTTCTGATTCGTAGGCCACCAACTTTTCAAGGATTTCCACGGTTTGGTACGGAGAACTACGTATTTGTACGGATACCCTACGTACAAGCTACGGTTTTAATACGGATTAATACGGCATTGTCACGGAAAGCCATGATCGTAATACGTTGCACTACGGAGAGGCAAGGATTAGCACGGTCTTATACGGTTTATTGCGTTGCAACACGAAACGGTACGGAATGGTACGGTCCATCACTGTTTAGTACGGATGAATTAAGTATCATGCACTTTTTTCAAGGGTATAAATACTACATTCTTGTAAAAAACAGACATATTTGCGGAAACATTCAATAAATGATAATTGCCATTTATTTGCTGCAACTTTACATTGAAATGACTCAGATTGCGGGGCAGTGGTCGAGCTGCTTGATGACATGCATAGAGGTAAAATATATATTAATATCGTGCTACAATTCATAAGTAATAGAATAACATTTAATGTTACATATTTTACAAACTTTGGATTGTGAAATTTGAGTAAATATGTACATAAAACGAAGTGTCTCATAAGCCTCGGACGTTGGCCCTTGAGTGATAATAAGATTAATTAACAAGCTTTTTACATATTGTTTAAACATAAACATTTATGATAATTATGAACAGCAAATCTTAAAATTAAAAGAGAAGCAGTATTGATCAACATTTTTAATTAATGATTACTAATCCATATCTTATCAGGTAAGAGAAGACAGAGGATGGTGTACTAGAGATGGGCTTTTACGAAGACCGCTTCATGTTTAGTATGAGGCTCTCATGGCCGAACTTTTTGAGGATCCAGCGTCCTTCAAGAAATTCACTTTAATCGGACCTGATGTGTCCCGGGGGTCGGACGCGATTGAGCCGAATCCTCTCCGCCAAAATCATTGAACTCTGCAATTCGTTTTCTAGGTGTTCTTTTCTTGTGAGGCATTTTGAAAATGAGCAAGCAAAAGGTTGTGGACGGATGTATAAGGTCCGAATAGATCCGTGGCATTTCGTTCTTCTCCGTATCAATTCGTTCTTCTCCGTATCAGACCGTACTTATTCGTACTAACCCGTGCTTATACCGTAGTGTATCCGTAGTGCGTCCGTCCTGATTTGTGTCGCTCCGTATCAAACCGTGTCGGTCCGTAACAATTGTTATTCGTGTCTCTCCGGGGGCTTTTGGTGGTAAATCCGTCGGACTCCGTACTCATACTGTTGAGTGTCAGTACCGGAACCGTAGCGGACTACGGAATTTCACATTTCCGTAGTAATCAGTGAACGATTAGACCGTAGCTCTTCCGTGGCATTATCCGTGAATATGTGACCGGGGCTTTAGGCATGTTAAATGTTGACAGGTCATTTTCTATTCCATTACACGAGAGAAAACTGATTTGGGTAACTCCCACGCATACTTTTATTGTTGATAATTCCACGCAATATTTTATGTGCAGGCAATATCTATGCAGGTTATATCCTAGATATTGATTGAAAAAAATCATGACTGATGCATTTAGCATCAAACTTTCATAGAATTTTGAATAATATTAAAAATACCGCCAATAGGTCCTTGATAGAAGTAACCCAGCAGGCACATCAACGGTGAACAACGTTAAAGTATGGTCAGATTTCAACGTTGAAATAACGTTAGATTTATGTTCGAATTTGAAAGTTTAAAAAACGTTGAAGTTCAACGTTGGCACAACGTTGAAGTTTCAATGTCATTTCAACATACTTTAATTCTAATATAAAGCAAAGTACTGTAACAGAGTTTAACAAAAAAATCAAGACACTATTAAATACTTCAGCTATTTTATTTCAAAACTACAGTTCAAGTGTAGCTTAAATTCAAACGATTTAAGAAGTCCTTTTAGTTTAACAATTAAGCTACAATCTGTTCCAATCTACCACTAGTACTTCTTCTAGAGCTCTCTGGGTATGTCTTAAGTGTTTCATGATGGTGTTTGAATACTTCTACTGCTTCTGCAAATAAAATAAGAAGTTACTAGTTGACTTGGTCAATCTCAAATTATATATAATTAATCAACTTAGTGATTTGTTTTATCTTAAAATGCTTATCTTCTAAGATTTACATAATAAAAAATCATAGAAATTAAGATACAGCTGAAGTTTCATATTGACAGTAAATTATGTACAAAAAACAACAATTTTTTTTAAAAAAGAAGCTATTTAAGTCTGACCTATGATTGGTAAGAAAAACTGCTCCAATCAGTTACGTCAGCATTTTCCCAAGAACAGTCTTTTCCATGTTAAATTTATGGTATAGAAGCTACAGCTGTAATACTCTAAATTTCAGCCAGGACCAGGGTCTAGAATATAAAATAGACTTATTATTCCCTATAAATTCACGGCAATTAAACTTAAAATTTAACACTCACCTCAAACAGTTTAATCAATATTTGTTTTGATAATGCAATGGATTTAATGTATTTTTCAAACTAATTCACATTTAATTTTACTATCACTAAGATATAAAATTAATACAGCTAAATTGACGAATCGTCTTGGGACGTAAATTATATGGGGCGAACAACACTTCATCTGCTTATAGGTTACAATAATATGATAAATAAATTTCAAAAAGGCATGGCTTGTAAAATCATAAATTGCCAAGGACATCAATAACTTCGCGTAAGGCCTACCAAACCCAAATCATTCAATTAGGTCGCGTTTTGATACAAAAGTCTAAAATATTAGAAGGAGGTTTTGTATTTCTGTTTTTATTAGTAAAATTACAGTTGTCATTTTTCATATTTTGCAGATATGGAAGGTTCCATCTCGGATATTGTTTGTGAAACATTTCATTCACGGATAGGTCTCAAATATTGACCACATGAACAGTCTACACGGCACAGGACCTTATAAATGTTGTGGTAAAACATTTTATAGCCCAGCAAATAGGAAACGTTACGGGTTGATATTAAGATGACATTCAAACATAAGTCCTCTAGATTTTATTACCTAGTAAAATAAAAGACCCTTCTAATATTCTTTAGGGTTTTTTATGCTTTAGATTAAAAAAACACAACATAATACAAATGTAATGTTAAATACAGACACTAATTTGAAAAAAAGTCGGTTACATAAAAGACTGAGTGATAAAATGACTTGAATGTCTTTAAAATCTTAATATAACGAATAACATAAAATGCCATACCTGTCACGTTTCGACTTGCCACAACATTTACAAGGTCCTGTGCCGAGTAGCCAGTTTATGTGGTCATTAAGACAAATGTTGTCCAACATTATCCACAAACAATATCCGAGCTGGAACCGTCCATATCTGCAAACTATGAAAAATGACAACTGTAATTGTGCTTAAACTGAAATCGACCTCCTTCTTATATTTGAGACTTGTATTTTAATTTCTGCGATTAATTCATCTATATCGAAACTTCATTTAATATATTCACGTGAGTATGTATTCTGCTATCCATAGGGGCTTTATTCTATCCAGGACCTTTTGGCGGTATTTTTAATATTATTCAAAATTCTTTGAACGTTTAAGGCTAAATGCATCAGTCATGATTTTGTCCATTCAATATCTAGGCTATAACCTGCATAGATATTGCTTGCCCATAAAATATTGCGTGGGAGTTATCAACAATAAAAGTATGCGTGGGAGTTACCCAAATCATTTTTCTCTCATGTATTGGAATAGAAAATGACCAGTCAACATTTAACATGCCTAATATTTACATTTTCAAATAAAGAAGTTCTATGAACATTTTCTCTTTGCTAACTCGACGTAGTTTAATCAAATTAATAAAAAATACAAATTTTGCGTGAATGTTACCCGAAATATAATTGTTCACATTGAAATTTCTGTTGAATTTTTGAGTGTTTGTAAAAGCTATGAGCACAGGGGTGGAAACTAAGGTATAGGCGGCAACAGTTCTTTATTCCGCGTAGGCTGCAACCGGTCTCGTATGTAAGTAAAAGGAATATAATAAAGAATTACCTGAAAAACACATGTGAAGCGAGGTTTTTAGGCCGCCATATTGTCTGTACGCGTAACCGTAAAAGTCACGTGATTCCCTACCGTGTTTCCTCTTTGGTAGCTTTGTTGCGTTCTGGAGTCCCCTAAACTGTTGCCATGGACGTTACATAACTTACTCGATAACACTTCTTTAATCATTTCAATGGTCAAAATGCAGTCTGGGTATTTATGTTTGTTTATTTCAAATCTAACTGACTAACATACTCATTGTTTATGACCCTGTTCATCCGCCCGATCATTACTGCAATTTTGTGCGGATCGAGGGATAGATCTAGTTTAAGTTCAGGGCTTTTTTTCACAGGTTGGGGAAGCAGTCCCGTCCTTAATTTTTGGGGAAAATTACACGGTATATATGCTAAAGGGAAAGAAAAAAAATGGTGTTAATTCAATTTTGGGGGAAAACTGCATGTTTTAAAGGATTTTTCTTTGAGGAAGCAGCCCTATATATAACGACCCGTGCTATAGAAGAAAAAAGCTCTAAGGTTATTTCCTTTTCTTTTTTTTGATTGAATAAGTATCATATTATTTTATCCTCATACTGTTTCTTTATTGTGTTTCATTTAGATATATTAGCATTATGGAGTGTAAAGTGTGGCGCTTGGAACGGTACGCGCGGATGACGTCACAACCTATAACCGGAACCGGAAACGTCGGTCAAGATGGATGGGAGGTAAAGCAGTCTAGCGTTTGTTGTGATGTCTCGATACAGATTTATATATTTCGTCTGTTTAGGTTAAAATGTGACTCATAGTGATATTTTCTGGATTTTTTTAAAATCTAAATTCAACCTTTGTTTAGGCCTAAGAGGAATGCTATTTTTTATAGATATGGTCAATTAAATCTTTGTTTAACAAGAATGGTATTTTTATAGATAGGACCTAACTTCTATATACACATAATGTTAACATTAGGTAGATAAGAATACACCGCTTGGCAAATTTCATTAAGCACACTGTTATCAACTGTTTAAGCATTTAAAAAACAAAACAAAAAACAACAGCAAAAAAAAACAAAAAAAAACGAAAGCCCATACAAATAACTTCATTTTCCGTCAGAATCTTTATTGCATAATTTCAGCACTTTGATATCAAGAATTTCATTTAACACACTATATCTATTGTATTCACCTTTTTTATATAAAAAAAAGACAACAACATCAGCAGCAAACAAACGCGTAAAGGAAGCTCATAACAAAAGCCCATATAAAAGATTTACAATAGATAATTTCAATTTACATCAGAGTTATGATAATTTATTATCATTATTTCAGCACTTTGATAACAAGAAGGACACTCTGGAGTTGACATTAACATCCAGTAACCATCTGTTGATCCATCATGGCAGACGACAATTGGTAATATCATCATTTTCACATTCAATCTACCAGTACAATGATACGTGTAATTTGTAATGTTTCAACTTTTACGAACACGTTGTTTTTTGTGTGTGTGGTTTTTTTTAAAAAAATAAATACATGTACATGTAAACAAATTTATTGTTGGCAGTTTCGACATGAGGTATTTGAAAAGATAACGACCTTTGTTTGGCTTATTTTATAGTCGATTTTCGGTCATATTCCCAATTGAAAATAGTATTTTGTTTTCTCAATCCACAGGGAAAAAAATCGCAATTGAATGTTACAAAATAAAAATATTGAATAACAAATTCTAAAATCTTTGAAAATAAGGGTTCTTCACTGTAATAGTGCTTAAATGATTGAAGATGCCATCCTAGACAGTGATTCTTTGCATTCATTTAATCTTTGCAAAATTTAATTCATGCATTTTCCCCAATTTTTTAACAAAACATCGCTGAAGTTCCCAATGCCATGGGTATGGGTCATGTTCCCAATATCCTGTGGAAAAAACCTGAAAGTAGAACAGGTGTCATTATGCAAATAACCCGATTTTGACGACGGGAAAAACGCGTAATCTCATGCTTTATATAATTATGACTGTATAGCCTACTAGCTATGGTTTCCAAAACTTTATAAGCCGCTTTTAAAAAAGTTTTGCATTTTCATATGATGCGGCAGTAATAGTATTAAAACGGATACTCTGAAGACCTTAAGCTAGACCTTACAAGCCTTGCCCGTTTCCTTGCTTTTTCTGTTTCAATTTATATTAACCTCTACCTGTCTACTTTAACATTGAAATATATCATAAACTTTCAAAGCTTGGATATCTAGAGCTATGTCGATTCTTATTAGAATTTTGCATTGCATGGAAAAAGACTTCTTTGCATAATTACTCTTGGTTGCTGCGAGCAACGGTCCTATGATGACAATAACTGGGTATCATAACATAGTGATAACTATGGGTTTTGTCCTTAGCTTTTGAAACCTAAATATAGTAACATTTTTCATTTATTTAATATTTAATAGGAAAGCATATCGTTGACTGGTTCCGATTCTTGGATCAAAGGGATCAGCAAGGGTGACAGTACTATGGTTGTTATGAAAGCAGAGACACAGTCTAGAAGGTTTAGGATAAAGTTCTCGCCCACCGCGCAGTGTACTGGAGACGACAATTGTCGCGCATGCGTAGAAACGCTTAGCAAATATTTCCCAATTAAAATTCCGGACGACGGAGTGTGTTCACAGCAGGTATATTCATTTTTTTTTCGGACGAAGTTTGACTTCCTGTAAAATTAACATGGAAGGACTGAATATAATAAAAATTACAAACTGAAATCGTCATTCTAAAATAAAATGTAAAGGACAATTCTAACGAGAAGGATACTATTTACCATTCTAAAATAAGATTTTAAGGATAGCTCTATGATAAAATGTAAAGGATAGTTGAATCATTTTTAAAATAAAAATGCAGAGGATAGTTCTAAAATAAAATGTACACGTGTGTGGATAGTTCTTTAACTTTTAGGTTAACTTGTAAATGATTACAAAACGGAAAACAAGCAAAAAGGGCACCTGAAATTAAAGGCGTTCTTCTTTGAAAAATCATCAATATCAATATGCTATGATTTAATTTCAATGTTTACAAAATGGGTATTTTCTTAAAAGCTGCAAGAAGTTATTTTCATGTCATTGTTATGCAAGCATTGCCAACATTTCTTTTTGTATTGAAAACTTAAAAATAACATACTTTAACGTACTTTTACACGTTAAACAGTTATACTTCGGCCGAGTATCTTTTTAAAAGATACTTCTTGTTAAAATTCTGTCGTTTAACACAATATGTTCGTATTGAAAAAAAAAATATACATATCTATTGAAACTTGATTGCAATAAATCTACATGTGCTGCACTTTAAAGGCCCATTATGCCCAAGAAATGCTTTTCTTTTCATTTCTCAAAATATTTCTTTTACTTGGTCTCCTGTTATAAATTCCAAAAAGCTATTTATTGGCCATTTATCTGAATCATATTTTGCTTCTGTTGCTTTCTTAAATTAAGTAATAGTTATAGTGATTTAGTATCTTATATGAAAGTCAAAATACTACTTTGACACTTTGCTACTTTTTTTAACAAATAATTTCACACACGGACTACTTTCCTCAGGTAATAAGCCTCTGATGTGCTCTAAAACTATTATTTAAACATTATGAAACTCGTGTTTACCCTTTCTGAAGAAGGAAAAATTAATTCTGTTTTAAGACATAATGTGCCTTTAAGTAAAACCTTGTTATCACGAAGAAGCATTTTAAGAAAGATTAGCACATGTTTTTCTGTTCTTTTAGAAAGATATCAACATACAGCTGCAGTTTTACTCCAAATTGATATTTATAATAGAATTATGCAATAAATCTATGCATAATAACACAATGCCATCTGTTTTAATACTTTAAATTTTTCATGTCTTATAGTTGTGGCGTGGGAAAGGGGGTGGGGTGCAAAAGTTGTATTATTTTCTTTCTTTCGTATCAGCTTTAACTGTTTAACATAAAATTGCCTATGAAATGATGCATTATAAAGCCATAAAAATCCTTACGTAGCTTTCGGTTAGTTAATAGGTAGTTAATTCAATAATAATAGTTTGAAACTTTTTTAATTACATATCAAATAAGCTATACTGTATAATAATATTAATTCTTTAAGGAAATATGATTCTTAAAAGAAATAATTCTCTCATCAAAAGTAATGAAAATGATACTTGAGGAAATAAATATTTTCAGTTTAGTTTAGTATTAAATTTAAACGTGTAACTTTACAAAAACTTTACTTTGAAACACTTTCTTTCAGCCTGAAGTATATCTGGAAAAACAAATTATTATTAAAAAAAGCATAGTTGCAACTCTTTCTAGATCCCTAAAGGTGAAATCGAAATTATGGAAAATAAATATTTCAGTTTGGTGTAAAGTTTTTTAACTTTAAATGTGTTATTAAGACTTCATTTTGAAACACGTTCTTCAAGTCTCTAATACATGATTTCGTCTTCCGGACCAAAAAGCTACGGTTTTATACATAAAATACATAGTTGTAACTCTTTCTGGATCCCTAAAAATGAAATCAACTAACCTTTGTTTATTTGTATATTAGGGATTTTTAAGGAAAAAATCCTTTAAAGGGAGACACAGGCAAATTTTTCATTTCTTCGTTTTGATTTTTTCATCATTATTCTGTAAATGCCCTGAAAATGAATACACTAGGCAGTAACAGGAACAAAGCTTTTCTCCTTATGAAGAATAAAATAGTGATTTCTAACTTGACCCACGTGGGTCAGGTTAGAGCTTAAGATTTCACAAAAGTTGTCACAGTGAACTCTGGAAACGTTAAAGAATATGTCAAATTAATGACTTAGACTTGTTTTAATCATACAATATCCACAATATATGTTATAGTAACTTCCAGGGTTTGGTCAAGGCACTTCACTTGTTTCAAAACTACTTGGTGATTTTTTTTTTACCGAAATTTAACATCCTTTACCAGAAAAATATCATTTTAGCGTGATTTGAGTACATAAGATCATTTTAATATTTTTGTGATTAATTTGCCTGAGTATCCTTTTAAACTTCGTACAGTTGTAAGATATTTATTGACACATCAGTTAAAAGCACATAATGCCTCAGAATTACACATTTTTTTTTTAATTATTTTGAAATGCCACACATTTGATTAATAATGTTTTAATAATACGTTTAGAGCATATTTCATAACTAACAATCGACAAAAGTAGTGCTGAATGTACAGTAATGTATTGTAAAGATAGCAACAAAAAAAAACACAGTAGTATTTTGACTTCCGTACAAAATGTTGATTCAATATAAATATACAAATGTATACAACAGAGCGAAAGACGCATCAGATAGCTCTTCAATATTGTTTACAAAATACAAAACAACAAAATTTTGAGAAATAAAACTGGTAGCATTTCTGAGACATACGTAATGGGCCTTTTATCACAATATGTGTATTTAATTACATACTTGTAATTCATAGTTTGGTTTTATGATCGTTTTATCTTCTTCTTTTTTTTAAAACCAATAGATACCAGCCACTCAAACAAGCCTTACCGGAAGTAGTACCACATTGGTTGGTGACGTCACACTGAGGCAGCTTGCGGATGTAAGTAGAATATCTTTCGAAATATGTGAATCTTAATGTGGCAATTATTCATTAAAGACCCATTTCGCCTCAAAATACTTTTATTTTTATTTCTCAAAGATTTTGATTTTTGTGTACTTGTATAGTATCCAAACAGTAGCTTATTGGCAATTACCGGAACCATTGTTTCATCTGTTGCCTTTTGGCAATAAGTACAGTTGTATCATAGTTTGGGGACAGTTCTGTTGAAAATGTGACAGAGTTAAATCATATACATATACATGCAAAGTGCGTTAACTGGAGTGCAGGTATTAGTTACCCGCACTCCAGAGCATGCCCATTGATTGGTTCATTTTGTCCGGGGTTTACATTTTGTGACGACAGATAAACGGATTGCGGTGGAAATATCATATTCAGATGCTCGTTCATTGGTTACTTTTTTGTGGGGTTTCATATTGTGGTATCAGGGATCGTGTTTTTATGTTTGACTATGATACAAAAGAGAAAGAACATCAAAACACTCGGCAATCTGATTTATACTTGGGGGATACACCCCCTCGTATAAATCAGATAGCCTCGTGTTTCGATGCTCTTTCTATTACTTATATTGATTTTAGTATTTTGTATGGAAGACAAGTCAAAACACTATACTTTGTTTACATTTAGGACAAATTATTTCACATTTATCGCTACTTTTTCAGGCAGCAAGCAATAAACATTTCTCTAAAAGCATTTAAACATTATAAAATTAAAATTAATGTTTACCCTTTCTAAAGAAGAACAAATTTATTAGTTGCTGAGGCATAATGTTCCTTTAAATATGTATAAGTTCTACTTAGATGTTATTTACATGCATCCACAAAGAATAGAAAAAGAAGGAATCCTGTCAGTTTTGAGTTTCTGATCGCAGTTGCAAAATAGGAAACTTGTGCTGATTAATTTAACAATTTCAATAGAACAAAGTTAACGTTATCGGTTCGGACAACATTCCTCCTTCAATGAAAAACACACTGACGATTGATATTTGTTTGAAATTAAATAGGTAGGTCATTCTTATAAAAGAACAGACTACGAACTTTACCATGTCAAATACAGTATATGAGTCGAAACTTAGAAAATGTAATAAGTGTACTCAGTGTGCAGTATATGAGTCGAAATGTTAATTAGTGTAGCCAGCGTAAGAATTGGTCTGTAATAGGGCCTGGAGGCTCAAATATTAAGTTTTTCTCCGAGTATCACAGTGTTTCACTGTCATTGTGTGTATTTCAATATAAAAAGTCATCCTTTTCACTCCGCTTCGTTTGTACGAAGACATCGGTTGTTCTGCATTTGGACAACATGTTATTTTTTTCCCCTGAGCATACCTAATAACATTTTAGCTATAGCATGCGCAATCCAGTTCAACATTCTTTTTTTTAGACGATCTGCAACAAATCCACAAAACTGCCGGATATCTACGCCCGTTTTGGCGACGGAACCCAGTGCGATCTTGGAACATTGATTAAACTATGTCTCACAGACTCCAGCTTTCCTGCGTTTGTTGATCAAGTCGAGAAGGAGCTTGAAATCATCAAAAATGAAAGCGCCTGATTACAAACTGACTGATTTATATATTTCAAAATATTTTAAATTAAAGTTTCAAAAAACTATGAACGTCTAAATTTTATCTAAGCAGTTTCTTTTACATGAATTTTTTGATAATGATGATGATGATGATGATGGCGATAAGATGAAGACGTGAACGACAATGATAATGATAATGACAAGAAAAAGATGTTTGATACAAAGACATTGATAAGAAAAAGGTTTCATGATATTACCTGCCAGTAGGAAAACACATGAATGGAATGTTGAAACTTAATTTCTAAGAAATATTTACTTTGAGTATTTTGCATTTATATACATGTATATATATATATATATATATATATATATATATATATATATATATATATATATATATATATATATATATATATATATATATATATATATATATATATTTCAAATAGAAGACCCTGTATATTCTGTCCAGCTAGATGATCATTTATTTCTAATTAGAGAAAAACAAGAAGTGAGAAGAAAAAAAAAACTGAAAATATATACAGCAACAATTCTTTGTATTTCATGCACGTTTTCACAGTGAGATATTTTCCTAGGATATACGATGCGGTTGGTACAGATATGATTATCTTTATTAATATTTTTATCATGAACCATGCAGCTGGAGATCTTTATGAAGTGGTGTAGGGGGTTTTCTTACTAAAAAAAAAGATTAAACATTGACATAAGCAAATATTTGAGATTGTATGGCAACTTCCTGAAATATTTTTTTAGACGTAAGACTATCTGGAAGTAAATCTTAAGTATAAGTTTAAGAAAAATAGAATTAAGAGCACACTATGCATCAGAAACAAATACATTTTTACTTCTTTAGAAAGGTCATTTATGATTTTTTTAATGTTTAATTGACTAATGGTTTTCGAGAATGTAAGATGCTTCTTACCTGAAAAAGTAGAATAAATGTGAAATGATTTGTTATTAAAATAGCAAAATGTAAAGAAGGTAGTATATCCCATAACGCAAGTAAATTGTGTAAATAACTTATGAAATGTGCAGAAAGTAACGCCAGATTGTGCAGTTTCTTTTTATTTTTGGCAGAAAGGAGCCAAAACGGAGACTGTAACACCAATACGTGTTTTTGTAAAACAAAATTTGGAAAAATTAATTTGCGCATATAGCTGGTATGACAAATCACTTAACACTCGTCAATTGTTTTCTCTCCAGAAAATGAATGTGCATTTAATCATAATTCTTTAAAATGACGAAAAACGTTGAACTGTAACAAACGTGTCATTAATCTTTTTAAAAGGTTCATTTAGTCATATTTTATCTGTGTTTAGTCGGATGTTTTTGAAGAAGTTTTCGTTGTTGGATTTTTGTATTTTTTTCAGCATTAAAAAGTTTTAATATTTCGCTTTTGATAAATGATTTGGTTATTATAACTGATAACATTGGTTTTCATTCCGTGATGCCCTCTCAGGCTCTAAATTATGATTTACATCAATTTTGAAAAAAAAAGTTTATTTCAACGCCACATAGGATAACGTTCATCATAACTTTTGTCAAAAGATGCCCTTTCTGACTGCCCTGGCTATCTCTCAGCCTAAATAACTACAATTAAGGGATTTCAAATTATGATTTACATCAATTTTGAAAACAAAACTCATTAAAACAACATCGCATGGGATACGGTTCATCATAACTTCGGTAAAAAAGAAGTTTTCTTTAAACTTTAAAAAGCTTTCTTATTTCTCGTGCATTATCACAAAAATAAAGGTTAGTAATTCCAGCATCAATGTTTCAAGAATACCACCCCCACGCACCCCCCTTTCCCTCTCTCTCTCTTGCTAAATCTCCTTTGAACTTACTTAATCTCCTTTGAACTTTGGTGATACTTTACTCATTTCAGAAATTTCTAATACTATTTTTTCTCTTTTAATGATATGTATCCAGTATAATGGACTCAATTTATTATTAAAGGCACATTTTATTTTTTGGAAAGCGAATATTTTTTCCCTTCTTCCGAAAGGACAACATTTTTTATAACGTTAAAATAGCAATTTAGAGCATGTTTAATGCTTATTACCTATAGAAAGTAGCGCTGAATGTAAACTTATTTGCATAAGTGGCAAAATGTTAACAAAAGTAGTATTTTAACTTCCATACAAAAACTAAATCACTATAACTGTACTTATTGTAAAAAGCAACAGAAGCAAATGAAACGTTAAGCTTTAAGGTTATTTGCCAGTGAGTAACTTTTTGAAATTATAACAGGACACACACGTAAGCACACACACACACGCACACACACACACGCACACACGCACACACGCACACACACACACACAACTTATGAGAAATAAACATAAAAGCATTTCTTGGTCATGATGATTGAGACTTTAATACTCCTTCCATTACAAACCATTGTTGAAATAGACGAGCCAAAAAGTTGCGATTTGACGTAAACATCACATAAATGTTGATTATTTTTTTCTTTAAAATTATGTTACAAGTTGGTTTTTGTTACTTTGAAGCCATGATGCATTCTCAAACACGATTTTTTTTACCAAATATATAAATGGCTACGTATTATTTCTGGCGTTGATCTGTGTCCTTGCTGTGCAGTTATTTATGTATACATTACATACCTTTCAATTTTCTCTTTGTGACAATGAATTTATTGTACATTTAATTTTAAACTGTCATTCAACACCTACAAATAGTGTAAATAATACCTCTCCATACGACATCCGTGGTGCATGTTATTCTATACCCGTATTTATCACTTGTTAACAATTTGGGTATTCTTATTTTCAATAAATAGAAAAAAACCGGAAGTTGATGAAATAGTACGTAAACCGCATTTTCAGAAGCAACTACTGGTAAGCATTTCTTTATTACAGGATTATCGTTACTTTGTTTAAATTTTAAGCATTTTGATTTAGTATTTTTAGAATGACTTATTGTATATCATTTGGCAGTGATTTTGACATTAAATTAATGTTACAATTTAGCCGCTGGCTTGCATTTTGATTTTATCATGCATGCATACATGCATTTCTTATCAACAAATATGTTTATTTATATAAGCAAACTTGTAGCAGTTTAATCGAGACACGTAATTGTTGCCATGATAGTTCGCCTTGCGTTAATTTAATTATCCTTTATCAAGTTTCTCTTAATTGAAGGTTTTCTTTTCGCCATGCAATAATCCAAACTGTGTAATTTTATATTTTTTTTTAAATTTCTGCTTTTTTAAGTGTCTGAATTTTCAGTATTTTCGGAGACTTGTAATGCAGAATTGTTTTACATACCTCTATGGTGTTTTGTGTGCATTGCCAGATACAATCTGTTTTTGTTCTACAGTAAAAGAAATAATAATGACATAAAGTTATATTACAATTAAATGTTTATTATCAGTTACATTTTTTATGAAATAGGTAAACGCTAGTAAGAGTAAAACATCAACAAAACCGATTTAAAATACCGATTTAAATAAACAGCTCAATCTGTTTAGTTTTTTTCTTTTGAATGTCTTAAAACCATCTAACTAGCTTTGTCTTTGACCTACTTTTTCGTAGGCACGCGCCCGGCTGGAAGAAAACTGATTTCAGAAATTTTCAAATTGAAACAATCTCGTTGGAAAGAAGGGCAATAAATGTACATTTGATTTTAAATACTAGTACAATAACAAGTTATAATAAAATCCGGACTCTGATGCGATAAACCACTTATATGAACGTAAATGACAGAAAATGCTAGGGGATTGATTAAATACAATTGACATTTTTTTGTCAAACCGTGAGAAATTTGTTCATCATGACACACTAAAAAAACTCATAATATAATGGCTTTTAAAAAAGAATTGATGCAATATAGGAGAAACCCACCCTTAAACAATTGCAGACAAAAAGGTGTAAGATGTTCTGTGGACAATAAAAATCATCCTGTTATTTAAATAGAAATTATTAATACCTTTAAAAAGATTTTTTTTCGGTAACATTTCATTAATAAAAAACATGAATGGACATTGTTGTCATGCAGTTATGGGAAGTTGAAAAATGACAATGCATTGTATTTTAAACTTATATTCTAGATAAAAAATAAATGATAATAATAATAATAATAATAATAAACAGACATAAAAATTTTAAATATCCCATTTTATCCCATTTTTAAAAAAATTTAAACAAACAAAAAATTTTACAGTCCGTAAAAAAGCAAAGATTTTAAAAAACAATAAAATAAATATGAACATACGATTACAAATATAAGTATTAGATAAGAATCATAAGTGCATTGAGAGTGGCTTGAAGCGGGGGGGGGGGTTAAGTGTAATCTCGTTCATTAATAAAAAACAAAAGGATTATATGTTGACAAGTATTTGTTGTTAGTATGTATGCACAATTTTAAGCAGACCGCATAATAACAACAAGCAATTAGTGTTTAGTAGTACGTCAGTAGGTCTTTGGTTCTGGGAACGATGAAAATAAATTTAAGTAATAGTATGGGTAGTCACGTTTACGTCATTGTTTTTTTTTATCAAGTAGGAATATTAAGTATCACGATTTACTATTTATGTAAATGACTTCTAGTTTTATCATGAAATTATGTATAAGCATGAACTTGTGTATACACTAGAATTCGTCAATACTTAAGGGATTGCACCCTTCCCAATATTTGCACCAAGAAATCATGCCATTACAAATGCAATCAGTTACGTATATTCACATATAAAGAAATACATACTAAACATGATATAGTTATTTAAATTAATTGAGAATGTCAAAAAAAAAATTACTCCATTATAATTAATAATTTCGTATTGATATGCTTATCTACTAAATTGTCTCGTCTTTCAATCGCTTTAATACAAAATATTGCCAGTTTTCTTAAAACCAATATTCTGTTTAAATTTAACAATTGTATGAATATACAAAAACTGGTATTAACACTATTATATCTTGAAATATACAAATATACATGCTTGGAAAATTGTTATAAAATGGACATATTAATGCAAAGTGAAATTCGTCTTCTATATCCCCAGACATACATATTGTGCATTTTCTTTACATGTCATATC